CGTTTCTACATTAGGATGATGTAATCTAATTGAACAGTGGGAACCCAAGGGGGCGACCTCCAAGTTTGACAAGTGAAGCCAATGCACTCTTGCCTTGAACCTGCATTTTTTTTAAATAGCCAGCAGGGGGCAACTCCATTGGTTACAAAAATAAGTCATATTGTATAGAAGTCTATGAGAAAATCAGCCCAATACTCACTTGATATACAATCTAGTAAAAATGATTCTGATGAGTTTAAGGTCTCAATCGCAGTTTCAAATCTACTTCAATACAGCATGAAGTTCATTTTGTAAATTATGGACCCTTATAGGGTAACATAGTATGGTATGCTCTAGGTGTTGCTACCTTGTGAATGACAAGTTCTGTATCCTGTAGATTACAATAAAGGTGAAGTGTTGTTTCTCTTGAAAAAGTCTTGATAATTGTTTCGGTGTACTGCATTGTTCATTTTTTCATTTTTTTTGGTAGCCAAAATAAGCATCTCAATCAATTCAACAGTTAACATGAATACCGGATTGCCAACCAAGCTAGCTAGCTATTGCAGAGTTAGCTGGTAACCTAGTTATTGCTATGCCGACAGTACCAGCCTCGGCAGGGGTTGTGTCTACTGTAGATGGTAATCCTACATTTTTGAAAACTTGAGTCCAAAGACTAACTTCAACCATTTCAGTGGATCAAGGGTTACCAGACAACCTAGGCTAACCTTAACCATTTTAGGTCAATGCTTACCTTAACCATCTCTCAAAGTTGCTCACCCCCTGTCAGGCCTTGCTCATCTCTTCATACCCAAAAATGGTCCCTTCTGTTTCCAAAAAAACAAGACTGTAATTCCAAAATTCCAAACTCAAGGCTTAATAACGGCAGTCCACAAACCAATGGGGGTAAGGTCAATGATTCAGTAGATAGACAACAAGAACACAGAGAGAGACATTCAAAAACACCTAGGCAATAAGAAAGGTATAACATATAAATGAGATACAAAAAGGACATCCACACCCTAACCCTAACCCTTTCTCTGGTTTTAACGTATAGTTCACAAACAACTTTAATTTAATAATATCAAACTGTACTACATAACTATCACAGACTATAGAAATAAACCATGCAAATATGCTGCTATGATGTCTCTCGTTGGCCCAAGTCGTGCTGAGCCTTTTAGAGCCAACTCGTGAAACTATAACTCATTACAATATTGCACCAAAAAGTGATAATACTAAAGTGACCTTGTCCTAATTTTAGAAATGTTCTTCATCGCTATAATAGTCCTATAATACTGTAAAAGCATGCCTGTAGGACTCAAAAAGACATTTGAAATGATCTCATTGTGCTTTATGGGAACATTTGGTCTATTTTTAGAACCCAAAACTACTTATGATGCTTGGACACTTTGTTACGAGGAACTAACATGCTTAATAGTGCTTTTATCTCTCTCTGTAATGATACAGCAATATCCCTGTATACAATCTGTGTGAATAAATGACATACTGTATATGTGTGTGCATTCATTTCATTTGCTCAAGCAAAAACAATATGACAGTGTACATTCTCTATTATAGGTAAAAGTAATGTATCAAAAACACTAAGTTAGTATTATCAGGTAATATACTGAATCACATTTTGAACCCCTCTTTTCTTGTTGAGTACTTTTTTCATTAACTCTGTCTGAAATGCTTTATAATACACCTTATGACATCACCTATAATTGTATTTGAATACTCATTTAGGGTTTTAATTGAGGATTGGGAATAAAGAGGTTTTACATGTGTTTTATGTTCTAGAAAATTAATATATGTATATCACACATTTATCAGATGTGTTCCTACAATATCATATTATCAGTGTAAAAATATATCACACATATTTATTATGAGTTTATCTTTTGGGTAAATCACTACAAACGCATGCAGTGCATTGTTCAAATCTCAAGACATAACATTGCATTACATTTCATTTAGCTGACGCTTTTATCCAAAGCGACTTACAATAAGTGCATTCGACCAAGAAGATACAAACTTGAAGAAAACAGAAACATATAAGTACATTAGGTTTCATAGAGCCATGTGATACTCAACAGGCTTTAGATAAGCCAGTCCTTTGTTAGTATATAAGTGCTTAGTATATAAGTGCTTAGTTAGTATCTAAGTAAAAAATCTTTTTCATTTTATTGCTCGAAGTGGAGTCGAAAGAGATGAGTTTTCAGTCTGCGCCGGAAGATGATCTTGAGATCAACACCAAGAAAACTGAGGAAATCATTTTTGGCTCACCATCTGACTCCCATAAAGTCCCCATTGTCATCCATACAGATGAAATCAAGCAGGGAGTTTCATACAAATACTTGGGTGTAATGATTGACCATCTGCTGTCATGGAAGGATCACATTGAATATCTGTGCAAAAGGACAAAACAAAGAATTTATTTTCTCCGCCGTCTTAGGTCTTTTGGGGCGAGCAGAGAAATTCTTCTGTTGTTCTTTACATCTGTGATCATGTCCATTCTACAGTACTGCAATACTACCTGGTACAAATGTTTGTCAGCAGCTTTAAAATCAAAACTGCTCCACCTGTTAAAAATCTGCTCAAAGATTGTTGGTCAACCCTGTCAGAGACTCTATGACTCAGCCTATCGTAACAACCTAGTGAGGCTGTCCAACAACATCATCTCTGACCCAAAACCATGTTCTGAACAGTGAATATAAACTGCTACCATCTAATCGGAGATACAGGGTCCCACGATTCAATAAAGTCAGACTGAAGCACTCCTTTGTGCATCAGTCAATCCTCAGTAAATACAGAGCTGAATCCCAGATCAAATGCACGCTGAAGGCTCTTTGAGCAGCTTTTCTCTCACTGATTGTGCTGTTATGTTAAATGTTTGTTGTTTGTGTTTCATGTATTTTTGTTTGGATATTTGTCTGTTGATGTTGGACATGGAGCTGCTGTGACGCAAGTCAAATTTCAGACTTGATCTGACAAATAAAGTAATATCGTATCGTATCGTATCGTATATCGTATCGTATGTGTAAGCTTTCTGCTGTCCTGATGTCAATGGGGAGCTCATTCCACCATTTTGGAGCCAGGATAGCAAACCGACGTGTTTTTGCTGATGGGAACTTGGGTCCCCCTCGCAGTGCGGGTGCAGCGAGCCGTTTGGCTGATGCAGAGCGGAGTGCACGTGCTGGGGTGTATGGTTTAACCATGTCCTGGATATAGGAAGGGCCAGATCCATTCACAGCATGGTACGCTAGTACCAGTGTCTTGAAGTGGATTCTAGCAGTTACTGGAAGCCAGTGAAGGGAGCGGAGGAGCGGAGGAGCGGTGTGGTGTGGGAGAATTTAGGAAGGTTGAAGACCAGACGAGCTGCTGCATTCTGGATGGGCTGCAGAGGTCGGATGGCAAGAACTTTATTTGATGCAAACATCTACAATATTTCCTTTTGATGGGATGCAAACATGAAACTTTCCTTTAATATTTCCTCGTGTGAACATCACACGAGGAAATATATAACTCTTGATATATCAATCAAGAGTTAGAACAAGCTGATGCAGAATATATACCCTGAGACAATGTGAAATAAGAATCCTCAACCGCAAAGCTACAGTACATTAGGAGAAAGGAGTAAGAAAACAGCATGATAAGTGATAGTTAAATTAATTTTCTTTTAATCTGTAACATTTCTACAATATCAAATAATGAGTTGTGTAACTTCATAGCTACACTTTTCCACAAAAGAGTGAAATATTATGCTTTTTTCGGGTTTCTGTGCATGTAACAGCTCAGCAAATGTTTAATACCCAAGGTTGTCACCAGTTGTTTACTTCCTTAAAGGTGGGGTAGGTAATTTTGGAGAAACCAGCTCGAGATCGCTAGAATTTGAAAATACACAACCGGAAAAAATCTGCCACTTCCTTACAGAGCCCCTCCTCCAACACACACGAACGCGCACATGACCAATGAGGGCACGAGATAAGTTTGTGCACAGATGGAAGGCTGACAGGCAGGTAGGCCATCCAGTTATTTTAGCCGGGCCGGCTAAAATGATTGGTCGTACTTTTTACAGTATTACGGCTTCCACAGAGGAATTTTTTTTATGGATTTTTTATCAAAGCACTTAAGATATTCATTGCTATCGGGATGTTAAGAGCATTCCATGGAATATAACAAAAAGTGTATCTTGAGCCGGTTTCTCAAACTTACCTACCCCACCTTTAACATAGTGACATCACTACTTAACACTTGCGCTTCTATTGGCTAACGCTCCCTTCCATTGTAAATTGTAGATACACGTCTAAGCCGTTAAACAAATCAAAAAAGAGTCAACCAGCTAATCAATCAGAGCAGATAGGCTCTGTTCAAATCTAGGCATACTGTTGAAATGTATATCAACTGTATATGTATATTTGAATTAATATGTAATTATATGTGTCACTAATGTGCAGTGATTTCCTATTAAACTGAATGCTGTTGTTGCAAATCTATATATGGACATACTCCTCTTATGAAGCATCAGCTGTGTAAAAAAAATAAGAATGCTTAATGACTAAATCTAGTCGTTGGCTTCCAGTGGGAGCCTGCCTGTGACCTCACTCTCTCTCTCTCTCTGTGTGTGTGTGTGTGTGTGTGTGTGTGTGTGTGTGTGTGTGTGTGTGTGTGTGTGTGTGTGTGTGTGTGTGTGTGTGTGTGTGTGTGTATATGAAACGCTGCAGGAAGCTCTTTCTCAGTCATGACTGTGAGCAGTGAGACAGGAGCAGGGTGCGGAGCTGTCTGCAACACCACCTCTGTCTTCCCTTTCTCTTAAAACTTCAGTCAGCAAGAGGCTCAAACTGCTTTTCAAGGAATGGGAATTCCATTTGATAATTTGCATTATCAAAATCTGTCTTCACTGGAGAAGGAAATACAATTTGCCTGGATTATATGTGGATGAAATGAAGTTTTTTGGAGGATTTATGCTTGTTGGACTTCCAGGGCCCTGCAGGTAATTACAATTTTTAGATTTCTCTATTATGGAAAACCTCACCATGAATAACATGACCATGGAGAATGACACGTTGGTGCATGACAATCGAACCACGCTGGGGGTTTGGACTGACTACACAAATGAATACAAAGTGGTCAGCGTGTTTCTGGTGTCCCTTATTTGCGGGATGGGGATTGTGGGGAATGTGATGGTGATCATGGTGGTGCTGACCACCAAACACATGCGGACCCCCACTAACTGTTACCTGGTGAGCCTGGCCGCGGCTGACCTGATGGTGCTGACGGCGGCCGGGCTGCCCAACATCACCGACGCCCTGCACGGACAGTGGGTGTACGGCTACGCAGGGTGCCTGGGCATCACTTATTTCCAGTACCTGGGAATAAATGCGTCCTCCTGCTCCATCACAGCCTTCACCGTGGAGCGCTACATCGCCATCTGCCACCCCATCAAAGCGCAGTTCCTGTGCACTTTATCCAGGGCGAAGAAGATCATTATGGTGGTGTGGGCGCTCACCTCCGTCTACTGCGTAATGTGGCTCTTCCTCTCGGACACGGAGAAGTTGGTGTACGACAACGTGGTGCTTCTCAGCTGCGCCTACAAGGTGTCCAGGACTTACTACCTGCCCATTTACTTCACGGATTTCGCGGTGTTTTACGTGCTGCCCCTCATGCTGGCCACGGTTCTGTACGGACTGATCGCCCGGATACTTTTCCTCAACCCGCTGCCATCTGATCCAAAGAACAGCACCAAGAAGTGGAAGAAGGAGGCGAGTCAGGGCGGGAGGATGGTCAGCACCTGCTCCTCCAGCAGCACCACGGCCGCCTCGCGCAGACAGGTGGGACACTGTTTGTTCATAATCAGTGCGTTATCAATGATTGTCTTTGGAGCTGTGTGAGTAGGGAGAAAGGGGCCATCTGGACCACTAGCCAGGTACATTTTCTCCAATCAGGAACTTGATTGAGTGATAACATTTTTGTCTACTCATGAGTGGCTTTAGCCCACACCTTAGCAACACATTTAGTTTTCAAAACAGAATGATTTACCAAATTATTTTAATCTGAAAATACATATTTGTATTATTAACATTTTAGGAAAGTTACCATCGATTTGCATAGTGTCTAAAAACAATTTAGACAGAGCCCACAAGTAAATCTGTGACTGTCATAATATAAATGTGTTTTTCGAGAAAGAACTTTCATTGAAAAGTCTATAAAAAAGTAATTGAACGTGCAACACCTATCAATGTAAGAAAAAGAAGCATAATTGTGATGAAAAAACTGATAAAACTCATGTCATTTCCAAATGAAAGTGACCACTAACCTGTCACAATTTACTCCAGATGCCAGTACAATTTACTAAAAATATTCTTTCAACAAAAAAGTTACATAAGTTGTTTTATTTTCTCATTGTTTTGGGTCCTTCGTACCCCTCTGACCTGAATGTAATAATATACTATACGATTGAACTGGACCTGGCCAACAAAGCAGTAAAAACAGACAACAGCAAAAATACATTAATGTGTCGAAATATCTACGCAACTTTCAGATGGATTAATTTACTATTATACTTTGAGATAAGAGAGCAGGCAGAGAGCAATGGCCCCTTTCAAACTCAATGTTAATTTGAATCTCAACTACACATCTGGTAGTTTTTTCACTGTCACTGCACGGTTGCATTGCTGTTGCAGTAATACAATCTGTCCAGGAACAAAAAGGGATTCCAACGCTCCACTCCAGAAGGTCTCATTTAACCATGATGACATATACACTCACAAGCTGAAAACAATACCAGCTGCAAGCGGTAATGAGCATTGTTGTAACACCATTACAGATTATTTTGTGTCATTGTGTACTATTATTAAAGTACATTAACATAAATCCTAATACATTTATTTGGGAAAAATAAAATCGACACAACTGAATATGAAAATATATCACTAACTGGAGTATCCGTCAAAATGTCCAAAACAGAAGATCTTTAATGGACTTCATACAAATAAATCAGTTAAAAATCATGTTTATAAGTGATTCACATAAGATAAGTAAAAGTTATGAAGTATTATGTTGGTAAATGGCTAAGCCAGCGGCTCGCAGCTAAGGATGCAAAGAACACCATCAGGGCTGAAAACGCTAACAGTGTTTACTGAGGAACAAGAGGGTGGGCCTTACGTTTATAGAGCTATTCGAGTCTTTCAACCACTAAAAGCACTTTAACTACATACACACATACCCATTCAAACTGAAGGCAGAGCTGCCATACAGGTGCCAGTTGCTCATCATCTAATGTAATGGTCATTCCCACACACTGACACACAAATGGCTAGGCTTTTGAGAGCACATTCAGCTTCAATATCTTGCCCAATAAAGCTGGGACATGTAAACTGGTCCGGCCGGGGATTGAACCGCCGACCTTCAGATTTGTTGACAGCCCACACATTATTAAGGGGTAACCATTGGGACAAGAAAGTACTAGTATCGTTAATAGTTGATTCGTCCCACAGTCTTTTTTCAGTGAAAAATAGCTAATCTACCGTTTTAAAACTTAAAACTTGTTATAGTTTCAAAAGTGCTTTCTTTTATAAGAGCTTGTGTAGCTGCCACCTTTTGAATCCCATCGCTCAGTGTGCCTGAGAAAAACACATCTTTTATCCCTTGTGTAGGAAACTCAAACTATTCAAGAAAGGGTTTCTTCCTCATCTTCCCTTGGTCAAAGACACGCTGAAAAGGGTTCCTACTTCCTACAAAATAACCCAGAATCCTCTAAAGGCACAGACACATGCGGCAGACACACAGATAGCAAAGCTAGACATTTGTTTATCAGATCACGGGAAGAAGTCGTCCTGGAATGACGGGGGGGTGTGGTACCCTGAGGGAGCTCCATGCTCTGTTGAATTGCCTAATCAGTTAACTCCAACTCAAATAGGCTTTTGGCTTTTTCTGCACCAGCCAGGCTTGTGTTTAATCTCACATCCAGAAACACACACTCACATGTGTTTCTGTGGACACAATCCACCATGTACCATCGTGAATTACCTAAAGGTCAAACAGTAATGAGAAATCACGATTAGGTATTTCGCTCACTGATGACACTGCAAGCGCCCCCATCCAATCCAATCATCCTCACTTGACTGCAGCCGAGACGACACAACATAAATATGGAGAAGATTTATTAATGGGGAAGTTTCACAATCAGTATTTACATCTGGTAATTATATTAACAAATCCAGGCTTTGTTAAGTTGTGCATACAGATCAGGCTTCCTTGTTGGGAATTCATTAACAGCATCTGAATAAATAAATAGGGTTTAATTAGATCTACAATCACATGGTTTTAAAGATTCCAAAGGGTTGTTACATTAACAATGCTCATTGTATCACTGTTGGTGCAACATAGGAGTTGGATAAATCTCTATAAATCTTTACTATTATTTTCCGTCTAAAATGGCGTGTCTTCATTAATTTGGAGGTTGTACAGTTGAATTGAAACTCTCTATGAATATGACAGCATATATGCCCATTGTTGGTTGGAAAAATAATTAAATTATAGACCTGGGAAAATAATACAAAGTAAACAAAACTCAGATTTTCCAGGATTTTCAGTTTCACATTTATGAGAAGCAACACTCCTCAGATTATGGTAGTAGATTTCAGGTTAAAAACACAGGAATTAACAAAAATGTATTATAAGAATTTATAAGAAAAACAAATGTTTTTCTAAAACTCGACCATGTGATACCATATTGTTAAATATTTCTGAACACCAGTGTCCTTATAAATTATATTGAAACAAAACATTTAAGTTGCAATTGTGACAGCCTTTGTTTGAATTTAACAATTATATTGTATTTGTTCTTCTTATTCATAACATACAGATTTGAGCACTTTTGTTGTTGATCTTGAATGCATTCCCCTGTGAGGACACCGCTGCTTTCTGCTTATTCCATGGTGTGCCCTTAAAAAAATAAGGCTCCACATTGCAATGCATACAATTAAATAAAATGATCACAAAATGATCATACATTTGCCCTACTGTTGCCCTGAAAATAAATACTCACACCCAGCAAACTGAACATTCAGATCTTCTGGTTATGGTTCTGTGGCAGTTAGTCGTCCCAAAATTCCATTCTCACCTACAATATTTGAGAAGGAGCATGGCTGCACCTCAGTGGATAGAGTGCTGGTGAAAATGACTTTTTCTTGGGCATGATGGCTTCACAATCCATCAAGAATTATGTTCTGACAACACCTATTGTCACTGATGCAGCTTATCACTACTGGTCCCAGAATTAATTGTTTTTTGCAACTTTTTCAGAAATACAACAGTGGCGGCCATATACATTTTTTTTTATCTCCTTTGTGAGGAGATGAAACATTGATGATCATATGCTGACTATTTCGGTTTCCAGGGTCCTCATTGTAAGAGTTTGTTAGGGGCTTTCTTCTTTATTTGCATTCCAAATAGCAAAAAAACAAAAGGAGATGCTAAAATGTAAATCAAGAAAGTCAAATCTGAAAAACTAACCCTAACCCTAGGGCCATCGGAGTAAAACACAATAGGGTAATAATCTGTAGAGAAATTTACATTAAACTTTTGACTTTGAAAAAATAGGGATATTTAGCTCAGGAACATCCTGGGAATGCAGATAATCTACCTAGTCTACTTGGACATCAGACCTTGTCTGCTGTAAAAAGGTTCTAGTATTCAATGTTTCTTGGGCTTTTTTTTGTGCATGAAAGATTAGATTTCTGTGTTTTCCTGTTGTTGCAGCCTTTTTTAACACATTATATCATTTGATTAGGTGACAAAGATGCTGGCTGTGGTGGTGGTCCTCTTCGCCTTGCTTTGGATGCCCTACCGGACCCTAGTGGTTGTCAACTCCTTCCTGGACGACGCCTACCTGGACACCTGGTTCCTGCTCTTCTGCCGACTCTGCGTCTACCTGAACAGCGCCATCAACCCGGTCATCTACAACGCCATGTCCCAGAAGTTCCGAGCTGTTTTTAAGAAGTTGTGTCACTGTGGCCCACAACGTATGGAGAAACCAGCTGCTTACAGTGTGGCGCTAACCTACAGCGCCATCAAGGAATCGTCCAATGGGGAAAGTCCAGACCACTTCCTTTCAGGATTGGACGAAGTGACCACGCCGACGGATCAGTACTTACCCGGCGTTTTGCCAAGTAGCAAGAAGAAGCCGTTCCTAAAGCCCTCCCTGTCAGAGAGTAATGTCAAAGTCTGACTATAAACAAACGTTGCCCTTAAAGACAGTAGCAGAGACTCAGCTGCAGGATGGATTTAGTTACCCATGGGACTTCTTTTTAGAGAAGATTTAATTAAAAGTACCCCAACACAACCAATTTGATGTGTTTTCCCTTCCTTTTCTTTTTGGCCCAAAAATATAATAGGATGCTATTTGATGAGCCAACTTGAGTATTTTATACAAAGCAGATACAGGTAGGTTTCACAAACCTTGCAAAGATACAATTTATTGGTACAAAAAACAGAAACCAAATTGGAGCATCCACTTCCCCGTGCCTCTTCACACAAAACAGAACCAGACTAATATGCCACACTTAATATTGGTAGTTTCCTGCTATATGATGCGGCTCAGTGATATTTAAAAACATACTTATTTCAATATTTATCAAAATATTAAGAACTATTGTTGTTCTAACCAAGAATCATGCAAGCTTCGGACAGAATATATATTTAAATTATTAAAAGGATCACAAATAGAAATAGAATATTAAATCCCCTCTAGTCCTATTAAATCCCCCTGTGTGTAATGTTTACAGCCATGGTCTTCTCTTGGGTCAGTGTTGTTGCAGTTTGTTGCTGATGTGTTTTAATGAGAGCCTTACTACTTGTTTCTACAGATCGGTCTAATTACTGGTTTGATGGCAAGTCCATGTACTCTGTGTAGAGTATCAGATTGTGATGCTTCAGGTTTAAATTAGTTCCCATCTTGCTGTTTCAGTATCTTTTTCATTTCAGTCTCTAAATCACATTAGCGCAGTCCTGTTTGGGACTGTCTTTTAACTGTTTTTTAATGAAATATCCAAAACTAAATGGAGTTTTGTAAAACCATGCTGTACCAGGCAGTGGAAATGTGGCACAAGACACCAAAGTAACACCTAGCTGCTTTCGCAGCCATGGATGCGGAGGGTTCGGGGAACTTTATACGTGGGGAAGTCAAACGTTTTGGTCTTCATGGGCCACATAGCAACTTCCAAAGAAATTAACCGGGGCCCGCCTCTGACGCTATATCCAGTTCTCTGAAATTAGGCTTTCAGTTGCTAAAATAATATCATTAGCAGTAACAAGTTATGTAAGTAGTTTGTTGGAAAGGTAGGGTTAGGGTTATCAGTTTTGGTCTCAGTGCATTAATTGGACAGACCGGTCCAATCGTGCTAGCTTGCTGTGTGCTGGCGGTTTGCAGGGTGGATATTTTTTATTAAAATAAATGAACTCCCAGTTTTCTAAAAGCATATTTTGTTGTTTTATCTGGAATTTCCAATGCTCCCTTTGGAATTGGACATGACGTCTTTTGTTCCCTCGGCCCAATAGTCCACATGCAAATAAACACAGTTACCCAACAATAACCAACGTTTTTATTTGTGTTAAGTGGTAGAAGTAAAGAAATAGATTTGGAAAATTAAACAGTATTGGAAGTGAGAATTGAGGGCTTTCCTCGTAATGTAGAGCTTTCTCCCTTGATTAAGGCATCAAATCTACTTTGTTTAAGAAAATATCATGGTTTAAAATGGAACCTTTTTGGCAGAAAGCCCTCAAGGCTAACTTCTCCCATGTGAGATGGAGCTACTGATCTAATGGAACACAGGGTTGAGGGAACAGACACGTACAGCACTGGCACTAACATCAAGCTATCTGTTGGTAGTGTTAACTGAAATCCTCCAAACAGTCGGCTGGGGTTTTCTTTCCTACACATGTTAAATATGTAAGATGTAATGAGTGGTTTTGGAGGCTTTAAAGTTGTTGCAGTCAATTTTCTGTTGAGTAATAAGTAAAGTAACGTCATTTAAATGAATAAAATGTAATGTAATGGGAAATGTTTCTAGAAACTTGGCCAAAAGTGCATAAGACTGCTTGAGGATAGTTTGTATTTTTGTGTTAAGACTGGGTGGCATGTAAAAGTATGTTGTTAAGCAATGTAATTTATCAAAAGTATATCCAAGTTCCTAATGTTATAACATAGAACATTGCATACAGTATCACACGTGTGTTTATATCGTCAAGCCCTAGGATGCAATCTAATTTGTTATCATGGATAACTCGTAGCAAAAGCCTTTGTTCAAGCACCTCCTTTCAAGAAACCATGTCATTCACACCGTGAAATTTTAATCTCACTCGTAGGGCATGGAATAAAATGACCTTTTAAAAAGTTTAAAAAAGGCCAGATATTACAGAAGCTAATTTAAACCTGCTGTGTCAATCTAAGACCGCAGGGACTTTGTCTTTACAGTGACAGACACAAAAAGCTTTCCGGTGCTTTGGACACTGTGAATAAGACCACTGAGGACTCTGACCAGTCTCTGAAGGTCAGCAGCCAGTGTATAATGATGAGGAAGAAATGTGTAACCCTGACAGCGAGGCTGTTTGTCAAAGGGTCAACAGGCAGTAATTCACTAATATTGGCATAGACTGCAGAGTGCAGCACTTTTCTGTGATGTATATGCTCAGCAAAAATCTCGGAGCAATGATGGAATGTGTAAATACATCACGACAAAGTGCCATACTTGAGTTGGTGCAATCCACAGTATGTATAGCTCACCCTGCTATTAAAAGAAGCATTTTCTGCTGTTTGTTTGACCTATGTATACAAATTGATTAGCACTCAGTGGGAATGAAAACTGTGAACTTAATGAAAAGAACCTGTTCATTATGAGCTGTCAGCTTTTCTGTGTAAAGTTGCTCAAATGTAATTGTGCAGTTCAACGTGGAATTATTAAACATTTTATTTTCAATTGTGTGCCAGCAAGTGCATTTAAAAAAGAAAAGCTTGTTTCTATCCATTGATGTTTTTTTTCATTTCAAACAAATCAGTGGAAGCTAACAAGCTCCAAACTTGAATATGTGAGAGATAAAAGCTTTGGAGTTTGTAGCGCAAATTACCTTTTATTCATGCACTTTTATTTATTTTCTTCCTTTGCCCTCAGTTAAAATGCATTCTGTTTATAGTAAAACACCACAGTTGTAATGAAGATGTGTTGCATCGTGCGCAGTTTGCAACATGAACACAATGCTTTTGTGAGGTGAACATGAAGATCTGACACCAGATGTATTTTCATCTGAGGCGAGGCTTTTTCCTTCTTGCTGTTTAATGTATTGTTTTGTATTTTGTATTGTTTTGTCTATAATAAACAGAGACTATCATTGCAGCATATCTGCTTCACGGTTGGTGCAATATTGCTACATTAAACTGTCCTGTAAGATTAACCCTCTACCTTCACCTGTACTTATCTACTACCAGCAGCTATTAAAGAAACTGCCCCATCCAAGCCGACCATGAATCAGGCACAGATAGCTCCTGTATGAGCTGTGGCCAAATGGAGGACATCAATCAGAGGCACTGATGGCTTCTTTCTGCAGTCATTCAGCAAGTGGTGGCCTGCTTTGACACAAATTCATCTCACTGAAGCTATCACAGGCCAAAACTGTACACAAACACAAACAATGTGACACCCACGCAATTTATTTGCTGTAGGTTATATCTGACTGATGACACCTCGCTCTATTTGGTTAACTGATAAATGCTGATAGCACTAGAGTATATATTCCAATAATTACCCATGCGATGTTATAGAGCTGAAAAGAGCTTAATGTGCTGGGAGAGAATGTCCTTGGAACGCAGAGGCACTCATTTGATGACAGATGTTACATTTCATCTGCTGTGTGCACTCCAGCCATACATTTTAAGGCCACCCCCAAACACACACAAACACACACAAAATAACGGAAAATGCTATTTATTACACAGGCATTAAAATACCCACAAACAACCACTGGGAACATGTAAGTGTTTTCAAATGTCATTTATAAAAGGCATTTGAAAATTACCATTACTAATTAACATTAAATGTGTGTGCCCCTAAACCTAAGCTGCCAACCAATCAACCAATCAAATGAAAGTTGTATGAAGCAGCGCAAGGTATAGGGAAAGTAACCATAGAAACAAAACTTAACTAGCTGATTTCACTGCAAGTCTTGGCGCCCATCCTCACATTGAGCAAAGAAAACATTTTGCGTATCATGAATGCAGCTTAACCCCTAACCCTGACCCTAACCCAAGAGAAGAAATATTTTGATATAATTATTTTAGCAAACGCTTGTCATTATTCAAAAAAACTTGCTAACCATTGGTAATTTCTAGTTTTTGCCAGGCCAAACTGGTTCCTCTCCAAAGGCGCCAAATGACGTCACGTCCAGGCTTCCCATAACCCTAAGTCATGTAACAACCATACTTTTTAAATTCAAAAGTTGATCTTTTTACTAACCTAGTAGTTTGGATGGATAAACCTAACAATGAGCCCTTCACAGCTTCAACCATGTGTTACCAAGTATTGGAACGTGTTGTAAAGCTACCAACACACATATTTTTTGCATCAAGGTACTAAAGCTCTAACTAGCAGAAGGAAGTGGGGTTAGGTAAACTTTGAAAGTGATTGGTGAATCTTTCTTTCAGAATGTGATAATGCTGAATGGATGCATTTACTCTTTTACTGGCTGTAAACCAAGAAGAATGCGAGCCACACAACCTCAAGAAGTGGCCATCTAATCTCATTCTGGTCACAATGTGTTCGGTGTTCAATTACACTTCACATTAACATGCATTTTTCCTTATCCAGAAAGAATAGACTGATACAGATTTAATGTTAATGGCAGGTGTGAATGGGGAACAATTGCAAATGCAATCAGGCTATATAAAACCAGCCAATCCAATATTTTTACCATTGATGATAGATTGTATGTTAAAGTTCACTTTCTATACTAAATTAACCAGGATGGTTGGCTCCTGATCTGACATTGGGACCAGCACAAAAGATACAAATATTGTGTTGTCTGGCCCTGGCTTTTAGAAATTAAACTAAAACCTTTCACGTCTTATTTTCTATTTCCATATTCATAGAGTTAAAGGTGATGTAAATAACCCTCAACCTCTTGTGTTTGACATTTAAAGGTCGAGCAAGGTTTTAAACAGCACTCTGCTGGAAACATGATTGATCCATTAGAGAAAAAGCTGAGCAAGACTTTCCAGCGAGTAGAATATTATGTGCAAAGGGAACACTTTTTATTGAGTGTTTTGTCCAAGGTCGCTGAAACGCAGGCTCTC